CTCCCGTGGACGGGTGCTGCCACGCTTTCGAGCCGAAACGTACATACACACGAGAAATCTGAACACCCCCTCGATCTCCATCGTGAGGAATAAAACTCTCCCTTTCACCGAAGAAAACCGTGGCTGCGAATATACCGCGTTTAGATAAAATGACAAATAATTGACATAAGAGAATTAACAATGCTGACACAGTATTTGAGGAATTGTTTAAAATAATTCACTACTTCAAATAATTATTGTTTATTTTATTCAAAATAATGTGTCCAATCATGTTTCCGAAAAAAAAAAAAAAAAACGTATTTTCATCCCCAGGGCGTGTTCCATCGATCCTTTCCCTAGATCCATTCCCAGAGTGACGTGGATCCGTGTGTAACTTTCACCGAGAAATGTTTAGCCGATTGATGTTCTCGGACTCTGTATCCGCCGTCTCGTTCCGCGGAGCATCCACGCCCGATCTCGTCGTTAGTGCAATTATCGAGACGTACGCGTCGGTACCCGCGAGCGGATCACAGTTGGAGGTGGACAGGCCCGGCAAAGGAGGTCGAGAAGGCACCTTTCTCTCCTTGGTGGAAGAAGCAAACAGCTTCTTCGAGAAGGCGCGGCCGATTCTGGACGCGGTTCTTACGTTGGACAGAGGATAGATACGAGATTGTTTGCAACGGTTCTTCGTGGAACTGGTGAAGATCAGGTCAGAACGGTGGGAAAGATTGCTTGGTGCAAACTGAACGAGGGGAACAGATGCGGTTCGAGACCAGTCGCGGACGAATTTGGTCACCTGCTATCTAGAAATTCGATGTGGCAAGAAGGGGAGTAGAATCTCGACTGGCTGGACTTCGATTTTAACCCTTTGAGACAACCAGACTTTTAAATCGTTATTTCAAAATTATGAGACTGATATATACAGGGTAAGTCAATAAGGACTACTATCTGAAATGATAGTTGTTTGTTGATTGTATCAGAAAACGTTTTAATGAATTATGTAGCATTTTAAGGAATGCTTCACATGGATACAATTTGATTTGGGATATCAAGGTGACCTTGAGTTTTTTCAAGGTCAATGCATATTTTTTTTAATACCACGTTGTTGCCAATAAAGGAAGGAATTCAACGACCTATGGAACGATGGTATTAAAAAAAAGATGCATAGGCTTTTAAACATTTCAAGGTCATCTTGATATCTAAAAAAAATAAGATATAATGAAAATAAATTGTGTCTATCCGATGCATCGCCCAAAATGATATATAATCTATATATAATGCTAAGGGATTCGTCTCTTGTTAGTGTCTTCTGGCCTGGATGGTAGCTTTTGGTTCAGATACTATATGGAAGCTGGCATTCTGATTGGTAAAGAAGTGGAGATACTTGAGAAATAATTCTGGTATGTGTCGTTACGGAGGTTGGTGTGGAAATTTAGCAACGTGACTTGGGTATGGGATCTATAGAGCGCATCAAGGTGGATTACCATCTTTAGCATTTTAGGGAGACTTTTGTAGGTTATGTAGCTACTTATGTCCTTGTCCCTTGTTATAGATCGATCCACTTGAAGAATTTTTCGTGGAATTGGGACTCGTTAGTGATTGTGACATGGAGAAAAATATCTATATTCGAATTGTTTCTTTGGAACAAACACCTTTAAGGTACGTCTTCACGTGATAGTAAAAATGACCGTAGAAGAGAGGTGTTACTCTTCAGGTAAATGCCAATAAATCAAACTCAGACCTAGTTACCTGATATAATTTCAACGAACAATCTCGAAATTATTTCTAAGAATTATTTCGAATGATTAGAAAATAAAATAACATGTTGTTCGAAATAATATTTCAAACAATATCATTTCAAAAGTGCCCTAGGTCGGTTTCACAGTCGGTAGTCTCGTTTCTAAAGTGACGCCGTCGGGGAATAACGAAGAAAGCAGAAAAGAACCGCCCGATGTCCGGCGCGCACGCGATCTTCCGCAATGAAAATCGCGTGCACCGACGCGCACTCGTAATCGGAAACGATGTCAGTAGTACGACGGTTCGTTTTGGCGGTGGATGAATTTTCATCTTTGTTTGTCGAACAATATTGCAAACATAAAGCATTGATAAACGTTATTATGTTGGTCATAGAAAGCTGCGAAACTTTTTCCTCTTTCATTTTTCTCTAATACTTACCATTTGCGAGAGAAACGCGCAGCTAGCAATAGCGTGAACACCCTGTATAGTCGAACGATGATAATATCTTCACCGGCGGAGATTCATATTGAAGTTGGTCACCGCGAAGTGAAAAAGGAAGTCGTCGAAAGCGAATTACCACTACGGTTCTGCTGTTTCGAAAGGTATTGGTTTACCGAGAAGTTAATATTACTGTTCTTTGGTAATCACAATGGAATTTTAATAGTTAATTACACGACAGATTGCATAGAAATGGATGGTTAAATATTGGTTGATTGTACGAACAACAACGAACGATAATGTAATAGAGGATGATCACTATTAGTAGTTTCTATTCCGTAAATTTTTTTTTTTAATTACCAGCAATTTCTCCTTCGCGGAACGATTTATAGTGTATTTCTATTAACCAAGTCGGTAATTGATGTTAAAATGTAAACCAAGCGGGTAATTAAATAATCAGGCGGGTAAATGATTTTACTTGGGTTTCACGGTAGAGTAACGGTCGAAATTATCACGAATCAGAATTTTTCACGTGTATACGGAACAGCCCCAATTACGTAGAAACGAATGTAATTTTACGCATCGGAACGGTTGATTCGTTGAATTCGGTCAGTCGTTTGAATATCGTGGTTTATACGACTGGGTCACTGGCGACCCGTTACAGACCTGGTTACGTGGCAGACATTTTTTAATACCGTCAATAGTTTCAGAGATATTCAAGTCGGTTGATTTAAAAATGGAACACCCTGTATATGTAATTCTCAGCGTTACATCGTACATTCAAAAGAATATTCATTGTAGCATCAATTTTTCCATTCGAATTCCACGGCCTCTGTTAACCTACTTCTTCCACTCGGATTGAAAAAAAAAGTGAGGTTACGGAAGATAAAAAAAAAATGGCGGAGCACCAAGATGGCGGCCGAATGTATTCCTCTCGATGGAATGAATTTGGAACTGCATAATCTTGAACGGTCAATGAAGAATAACGATGATTTCTCGCAATTTATCCACTTCCGTTTATTTTCCTTCTCGTGAATAGAAAATCCGTATGAATTCAAGTTCACTTAAGGCACTCGACTGGACTCGCGTTCATTTTCCATACGATTTCCCGTTCGCTGAGTGGCTCGAAGTGAAAGAACCGTCAGGCGATCACCTCCATACAGAGTCCTGGTATTTATTAGAAATCATACGCGGTTTCAGTGGGTTCGCAGTTCGTTAGCTTCCGTTGCACTCCAGATACCCGCCGGCACTTGCACGAGGAACGACACGCAATAACCAGTAATAACGATGATAATTTCTTTTCGTTACCGCGCCTACGATGATCATTCGTTGAGAACTGCCCGGTTGCACGAAGTTATTTGCACTTACAGGGACGATTAATTTCATCAATTTCATCAATTTCATCAATTTCTTTTCTATTGAACGAAAGGCCTGAGAGATGACAGGAATGTTAACTGTACCCGGAAGCAACCCTATAATTACTGGGGAACGAAAAAAAAGTTTTTTAAGGGTGGGCGCCGCCATCTTGAATTCCTCGAACGTTCAATTTGTCCAAGAGTACTTTCGATGGGGAATCGATCGAAATAAAGTGACAGACTTCCAGAAACGTAACTCCATAATCTATAAGGTGTAAATTATTATATATTACATAGTAGTAGTTTAATTATTATGTATTAAGTAACAGACGCTTCATTAGACGAAGTTGCCGAGTTCTGATCCAAATTTCTACCGTGACTATAAACGCGCCTAGTAATTATCCAAGAAACGTGTCTACATTTTCGAAGTTTCCAGCCGTTGACTATGTGGCTCTCGCGTTTCGTATACCGATCCAGAGGCTTGGCTAACACAGTCAGCGAACGGTAAATGTAGTCGTCCTTCTGGTGAACGCGAAAACCACTGGATAAAACGGGGCAGTACACGTACCTCGTGCGTCACACGCGATTTACAATTCGAGAGAGACCATTCTCTCTGTCTTGAACTACTTATAAATACCATAAAGAAATTACAAAAATAATTTTATTACATTTTGCATTAAGTTTTTGTCTTGACCATGAAACTAACATCTCGAAAAAAGGTGTCTCATCTGAAATGAAAAATTCAAGAATATTCTGAATTAGTACGAGTGTCGAACCACAGTCCTCTTTATATCTTTAATTTATCATACTTTTTCCATAACAAAATCACCGAAAAAAGTGATCTAAGTGATCAAGAAAGAAATTTAAGAATAAATATTTAAGTGAGTATAAAATATCCACGTCATGCATCCTAGGGTTAATTTGCAATCATCTGTTCGTTTCGATTAGAAAATTCCTTTTATATCCTCCACCTCCCACCCCCTGAAAATTACGAAAGTTGGTGTTTATATAAATAAAAACCAGCACCGTGAAATTTTCTTCCTCGATCGTCGGATCCCTGTCGCGGTTTCGATGTCCCGAACAAAAACCACACCAGGCTTTTATTTAATAACCGTGCCAACTGAATCGTGGCTAAGTACTCGAACGAATATTTCGATTTCTTTCGTGTATTTCAATAGTAGCCGGGACGCCACGATTGCGGTATTCGACGTAAATGATTTTTTTCCACCTCGTTTCCCGCCCAACCGTGAAATCGTCGTCCTGAATACGCCTTTCAATCTTCTATTAAATGCATTATCGGTCGGTTCGCAGTCACGATTACACGGTGAACAGAAGACATGAAACGGTTATCGGGCCCAGAACTCGTTTTAAAATAGAAATCGTCTAGATTGTTACTTCGTTGTCGCCCCGATTTCAATGCAGAATTTCGTGACACTCCGTTTTGATATTAATTATAGCGATTCTTAATAATATCCCTTGTTTCGATTCCAGATTGTGCGGAAGTGTCTGTCGTCCACATTGGTGATACCAATCTGTTTGATCCTGTCGGTCGAATTCAACGGGGTCCAGACGGAACGATGGTCGCGACAGATCTCGAACAGCGAATGGATACCATTGGCGAACCCAAGGGCGCCGCAAGCCCAAACGGAACGGAATAACGATCAGGGCACGACGGGGTTGCTTGCAAGCAGCACAGCGCCGCTACCACAGATCCCGCAATTGTCCCTGCCGCCCGCGCTTCAACAACAATACCAGGATCAGCTTCTGCAGCTGCAGAAGACCCAAGAGAATATACAGAAACTGCTGCTTCTGCAACAGCAACTGAGAACACAGCAGCAACTTCTTCAGGTAGAAGAACCTGTTTGTTGGATACATTTTTTGTTTTCATTTTTCTTCAAAAAATCTTAAATAATTTAGGCACTTTATAAGTTGTATATATTTCACTGACTAATAAGACACGTAACTTAATTTTTGTGGAATGATTGCAATATATTTGAAAAACTTTTTTTTCCATAAAAAGAAAATTTTAAAACACTTTTCTCGAAATTTTGTTAACGCAAGGTAAACACTCGTTCTCTCAGTCTCAGGCGTTCGTGCCCAGCGGGTTCAGTAACGTCGAGGAGGACAAACGGCTGCAACAGGGCGGACTGGGTCATCAGACGGACCTGGCGCCGGAATACCTCGTGCCTCCGTTGCCCGCCACGGAGGCGCTGCCGCCTGTGTTTCCCGCGCAAAGCTTCCTTCCGGCTCAGCGTGTACGGGCCCAGCACCCAGCGAAACCGGAGAACGTGAACGTTCCGCAGGAATTCGCAAATCTGTCCAATCAGAATTATAAGAATATCCAGCTGTTGCAACAGGGACAAAACGTCGGCGACGGTGGACAACACGTCGACGGGATTCAGGACAATCAACGACCAGGGGCGAAACATTTAAAAGAGACGAGCCAAGGGTCGTTGGTATCGCAATTCGAAAACGGACAGGACGAGGACGAGGAGGTAGACTTTTAATCCGTGAATCATTTTTTTCTTTTTCAAAGTGTTCCTCACTGTGTTCACATAATTTTCGAAATCCCGATAATATAATTATTCCGTGTTCCGCAGTAGATTTAAGTATATATTTTATAAAGAAAAAATAAAATCTTGAAGATTCATTTTGGGGTTCAGAACTTACGTTAAAGCAATAACTCAGACACAAACATGATATCTTCAACGAAGTTTCGTAACTTTCATTTTGAAATTAACGATACAAGATTGTCACAGTCACCAGAAGATCTCCTGACCTTCTATTGTTAAGGCATCTGTCTCTCTGCGACAACCCATACATCGAGAGGCTGAAAATATCCACGGTTTAACACGCAAAACAATTCCCGTCGTTCCTTCCAGGTACAGCTGGTCTACGTTCCAGCGGAAACTCTTGCACAACGTGGCCAAAAGAGGGGTCGCGGTAGAAAGCAATATCCGGGCAGGCATCACCAGCAACAGGCGCAGCAACACCAGCACCATCATCATCACCGTGAGAACCAACCGGTCGATACAGGCTCGATCGGGGGCGAGCAGGACGCGTTCGCCCGTCAGATATTGCAGCAGATCCAGATGGAACGGGAGGAGAAGACGCAGTTTCTGAACGAGGAGAGGATGAAGGAGATCGCCCGATTGAACGAGGAGCAAAGAGCGTTGGAGCGGAAAGCACGTCTGCAGCAGGAGGCCGTTCAGAGAGAGCAGGAGCTGCAGCGTCAACGGGAGGCGGAGAAGAAACGCAAGGAGCTAGAGAAGCTGGAGGAGATGGCCAAGCAGCGGGAGCTGGAGAGGATACGGGAAGCTAGAGAGAAACAGCGACTGGAGGAGCTGGAACGGAGACGATTAGCGGAGATCCGGGCAAAGGAGGAGAAACGAAAAGCGGACGAGGCGGCCAGACAGAGGGAAGCCGAGAGGCTGGCTGCTCTGGAGAGGCAGAAGGAGCTGGAGATCCAAGAAGCTTTGAAACAACAGCGAGAAGAAGAGGCCAGAACGGCCAATCAGGGATTGTCGGATCATCGTGAGGTACAGGCTCTCCCGTTGATCAGGGACCAACAGGACTTCCATCGTCAACACCTGCCCGAGACGTCCAGACCTGCCAAGAGCAAGACTCGTGGAAGACATCGCCCCCGAAATCAGTATCAGCAGGAGCAACAGAATTACCGTGAGACCACAACCACCGCTCCGTCCCCCAATCAACCTCCCCTGTCTGTATACATGGGCAACACGAACACCAGAGCTACCAACGCAAGGGTGTCGGACGTTCTGAAGCTTCTGAAGGACGCGAAGACGATCGCGGTGCTGGACACCGTTGGCCCCGATACACCTCAAGTGTTCGTTGGTCCGACCAGTCTGGACCCTCCATCTGGTTACGCGAAATTTGACCTACCGTATCTGTCCTCCATTGATCACAATCGAGTGGAGAGGAAAGTGGACAAGTTACCGTTCTTCGTAGCGCCTCTCAGCTTCGATCCCCCACCAGGATACTCGAAGATCCCGTTCCCAGCGCCCCACATAGGCTCTGTCGTGGTGAATACCTTGGACAACACGGATCCTAAGAATGGGGATGATCAGAACCCCAGTCCGACTCCGCTGATCGAGCCGAACTCGTACAGCGACGGGCTGGATGGTGGGTTAGACTCGACAACGCCTTTCTACGAACCTCGGACCACTGCAGGCTACACGCAGGATGTGTCCAGCACTCCGAAATACGAGCAATCGTACACCACTCCGACATCAGGATATTCCGGGTCCAGGTTCCGATTCAGGCAGTACTACGGCGACAGCAAACCGGCCTCTGTGATCAGCACCTCTTACTATGAGGACCAGCGACCTGCCACGAGGAAGCACAAGTACTACGAGGAGAGTACCAGGTCCACAGAGGCCCCCAGAATGGACAACACGGCTAGCCACGCGGACGAAGTCTCCTATTCGACCACGCCCAGCTTCAAGGATGGTCCAATAGGCCCTCAGGACCCGACCACCAAGGAACAAGAGCTGGCCGCCCAGTTGGCGCTGATCAACCAAGAACTGGATCAGCAAAGAGAGGTTCAGAGGTATAATACCGGAGGGCAATATAATCAGGACAGTTCTGTGACTGGTTTGGCGAATAGTTTCGAAGGGGAAATCGGCGCTGGGGATATTAACGATGTCAGGGCTCCTATTGGCCCGACCCAGTATAGTCTGCCCGCTGAATTGCCAGTGATTTCGCCTCATTTGCCTGGATTGGTGAATTCTTTGGTGGAAAAGAACGAGGGGAAACTGCAGGCCAGCACAACTACGACCACTCCTGGTACCACCGTCACGACCACAAGCACGCAGCGTACACCTACGACGACGTATAGGCCACGTGGACGACCGAGGTAGGTGTCAGGTGATTACGGGAAATCCTCGATGAGTGTCCGCCGGCTCCTTTGCTCTGACAACAAGAAGTCCCCAAGTGTAACGTTTAGCACGGTGATAGAGCTTGGAATTCTGAAGCCAATGATATTTGTTTCAGCCATTGAAATATTTAATGTTCAGTGCCAAGAAGCCTTCGAACACTCATGGAAGATTTATTGTATGTACTAAATAGATCAGGAACTGGGTCATTAGGGAATTATTGTAGAGCTGATTCCCAACCGTTTTTGGATCATACGTTCATGCTACGAAGAAACGAAAATTGTACTGGAAGAGATATTTCGATGATTTCAGGAGCAAAGTCTCGTCCACGAAACCAAGGACAACCACACAAGCCCCGTCCACAAAAGTGACCGTCGACAGGAACCGAAGACCATACAACAGATCCAGGTCGAGATTCAGCACTACTACAGAGGTGTATCAGGAGTCTTCGTACGAACCTACCAAATCCAAGATCCCAGAAACAACGTTGAAATACAATTCCGAGCACAGGAGACCGGTCACTAGAACACAGAAATACAGGAATCGGGATAAAACGAGTCAACAATCCGAGGTACTTAGCCACAAGATTCTACGTATATACAGGGTGTTCCTAACTAACGTGAGCACCTTTAGTACCTTATTTCCTTTTAATTTGCAGAACATATATTTTAACAAATGCTCAAAGTGATGTCTATCAACTTGAACTTTCACGTGAAATCTCAGTATCATCCCACAAGTAAAATAAAACAAACTCACTTTTTTCATTAACAGGTCCTGGAACAAAACCAGAACTCTCAAACGCAGCAGACCTACTCCGATTCCGGTTCCCCATCCTCAGATAACGGTTACTTGCAATCAACGGGTCCAGACACAAGTATCCGTCAGTTGGACATGTCGTCGAACCTAAATGACTTCTCACCTGAGAATTATCCGTCGACAACGATCAGCACCACCGAGAACTACCCGCCGCTTCGCGACTCGACCGTCAGCGGTCATGGATCGTCTCTGGTAGCCGAGGATTACACCAGAAGCCAGAACTACCCGCAAACGCTATCCGACCAGTACCGTGACAGTTATGATCGACCCGTCGAGCACACCGGTCTCGAAAGGACACCTGTGAACGGGTTCAATTATCAGGCGCAGAACGACGAAATCCACGACCAAGCGATCCTCCAGAGACCGAAAGACTATCAGCTAGACGGCAAAGCGGAGAACAGTGACCTCGAGCTGGCCACCACACCGGATCCCCGATACAAGATCACGGACGAGCAACGTTATCCGTCGATCTACGACGTGACAGTGCCGCAGACCCAACCAGAGTACAGTCTAACCGGGCAGGACAATCTTCATCGACTGGAGAGCGAGAAGATCCAGCAAAGTGTCCTGGGCGGTGGCGATCCGAACGAACAACAGCCTATATTCGTACCGTTGCCCGAGAACAAGCAGGAAGACTACGTCCTGCCTGTCTCGTCCACAGAACCACCACCGATCGAAGTAAGTGACGTCTGTCGACGTCTGAATCCGAAATACAGTAAATCATCCATCATTGTCCGAAGGCTCCTCGGCACTGAACATTAAATGTTTCATAAACTAAAGGTCTTAATCCGACCCTGTCGATTGCGTATTAATTATGACCGTCTCGATTTTCGTTCGACGGAATACTGGAAAAAAAGATTTCGTTTCAGATCACAACACAGTCCACGACAACCACGGCGAGCACAACGCCTGTGGTCATACGTCAACGGGTCCGTGGGCGTGTCGGTACGCGACAACACCACGAGCCCACGGTCCAGACGCGAAATCGCGGCACGCAGGATGAGTACGTACGTTTCAACGTCGTCAGTCAAGACACGACTCGTACGTCCCCGGGTCGGCAACGAACCAGGTCCAGAACTCGTGCACAGAACCACGGTACGCAGGTACAGACCGACGGGAACGAGTACATAAAGTACCACGCGCCTCAGCAGCAACGACAGATCACCACGACGACGGTGGCGCCGCCACCGACCACAACCACGACGACAGCACCGCCACCGGAGGAGGACGTCGACTACGGATTCATAAGGCCCCCGAACTTCCGGCCGGTGCAACCGATGGACAACAAGTTCCAGGCGCCTATCACGTTCCGACCCCAAATTTCAGAGGTGGGTGATGATCTGATGATGATGTCCGAAGTTTGTTCAAGGTATTTCGGAACAGAATCAGCATCTTATGCTAGGACAAAGACGAGTTCAGATAAAAACGAAGTATAAATGCTGTTACAATTCGTCAGCCTTTTATGCAACAAATTTCAGGTTGTGTATCATTAGCGGGGTGTTCCTAGAAGGTATCACGCATTTCGAGATATTCGATCATTAATTCTACTACGACCCAATCGCGTTTTCTGCTCTTTAACGCCGTCACGACTTTGCTCCCTTTCTCGACTTAATCCGCCGTTGTCACGCTGGGTCAAATTGACCCAGACTTCCACTTCAAAGTAAAATATCTTTGAAGCACCATTGAAAATGGTACCGCTAGTTGCCATGTAACGTAGTAATTTCAGGTATCCTAAAGAAACTTCTCAGAATTTTGTTTTTTCTCTGTCAGTTTCACTGAATGTTTTATCAATCCCGTATCCAGCAGTTACAGTGTTCAATTTAAAGAAATACAAGTACCCCGACAACTCTATGCAGCTCATTAGTTGACCGATCGTCCGACAGGTGGCACACCAGTCCCTGTTGCCCAACGACGAGACCGCTGTGGAGTCGAGTCCACCGCAGACGCAGCTGCTAAAAACACGTCACAAGTATCAATCTGCTCCGAATCGTCGTTTGCCAGGAAGGCCAACGACGCTGCCAACGTTGCCACCGTTGACAACGACAACAACACCGACCATAGAGGCGACGACCACCACGGAAAGACCTATCGCGACAGTGGCGCCGTCTGACGACTCGATCTACACGGTCAGGCCCAAATCACGACCCGACGAGACGAAGCAAACAACACGGATCAGAACTCGAGTCCGACGACCAGGAAAGAAACGCGTGTCGACCACCACTACCACCACCACGGAATCTATACTAGAGTCGCACAATGAGCTACCGTTAGATGAAAATTACCCGCGCATTCGATCGCAGGCAGGGACAACGACCACCGAGCACCACCAAGCGGGTCTCTACGAGGACAACTACGACGGAACGTCCCAATTCAACCACGGACGTAACCCGAACGGTCAACCGTTCTACGAAACGTCCAGCGAGAACGTGAGTGGTCACTTTGTAACAATTGTGTGGACAAGATATACAGGGTGATATCCAAAAAAAGGGTTCGTAGCTTCTATCGTAGAAAGTATCCGCCAAAGGGTCATTCCACGCGAAAGCAGACACTTTTTGGAGTGACATTCCGGATTTTGTTCAGATTTGGATATGCTGTGGTCTTTAGTAATATATAAATGTATCTCGAAGGATTTTTGAACATTTTTTAAATTGTTGATTTTACAGCTGTTTGAAATGTAGCGTCAACGTTTTTTTAACCATTGATTTTGCAATTGCTTTAAAGAAATGCAATTTTACAATAGTGGGGCACTATTTGAAAATTTGAAATAAAATGAGAGCATAGTCCTACTTGTTTTCTTTATCTAGAAATTTTCAAAAGAATGGAGACGTTAAGATTGGCCATATGAAAATTAATCGAAGTTAACGCTGCGTCGAATCACACCGGCTGAAATGTCCCCGGAAAAAACTACAAAAAAACACTTTTGAATAACAGACTGCCACTTCATGGACACCCTTGTGCGCTGACGGCAAAATCCACCAAATTTGAATATTGTTCGTATTCCAGTATCCCTCGGAATTCGTCCTGAACTTCGGCAACTACCCGGATCAGCCAGTCCAACGGGAGGAGTACGATCAGACGCAATTGGCTAGCAGTTCGCCGCGAAAATACAGCGAGACCGGTCAAAGCAGACCCGTATCGGACGAGTCCAATCCGACCGCGGTGGACATTTATGGGGCGGAGAGTCAGTGGTCCACGAAACTGACGGGGACCTCGTTTCAGCCGAGTTTCGCGGTGAATCGGCTGGAGAAGACGAAGACACGCGAGTGGTATCGCGAACCATCGTCCGTGGACACGAACGATCCCGAGATAATCACAGCCGCGCCGGAAGTGTCGTCCGTCACGCTGGTCGTTTCATCCGACGACAAAAGGATCGAGGATGACGAGTCGATGCTGATGGGCACCACGATGTTCGGCAGGAAAACGAACGCGCCGGATCATACGGAAAAAATGAACGGGACCAATGCTGTCACCAGCGCGCCGACGATAACGACGACACGGGATAGAAACGGGAGTCGGCCGACGGAAACGACCCGTAACGACAGGGAATCCTGGTTGATGGATAGGGTGGAAGACGCTGGCGAACGACTGCACGGTATCGATCTCGACAGAGGCCAGAAGACTAGCTCTGATCCTCCTGCTGTTAGGAAGGTGAGCAGTGTGTAGTGTCACTTGCAAAGGGAAAAAAAGGTATTCCGATGTTTTTAAAACTCTGTGGGTTCGTGGGGTACCTCGATAGAAGCAACGGGAAATCTTTCGTTTTTGCTGATATTCGGTTCTGTGGGGTGAAACCACCTCTTGAAGGTTATTGTGTCTTTTCCTATTTTCCCGTGTATCTTGGGAATTATGGTAGACACCAGAAATCTGTTGAAACGAAAATTTAATTACTTTGTATGTTCTGTATAATGTTGTAATGAAAATTAACTAAACTTCCGCATTAGTCTAATTTAAGGATTAAATCTACAAGACCTCTATTAGCCTTACTCAAGTGTCAAAACTTCAAGAAACCTCTATTACTCCAATTCATGGTTGAATCTACGAAACTTGTATTAGTCTGATTCCAAGATGCAATCTTCTACCCCCGTGTTACTCCAATCCAAGTTCCCCAAACGGACTAAATGAAACCCCTAACTCTCGATTCCGATACAAGATGTCGATCAACCTATCAGAATCCACAACAGTCAGACACCGACCGATTCGTTCCAGGGCGCCAGAAGGAGAAGGGTCCGTGTACGAGTCAGACCAGCGGTGGACGACTTCGTCACCGCCGAGTCCCAGCACTACAATTCCGCCGCTCTGAACAGTTTGATCCGCGAGCAATACAAATACAATCCCCTCCGGGAGTCCACGCTCTCGACACCACAACCGATCCTCTCGGAGAAGTCAGTGTTACAAGACTTTCTGACAGAAATCCTAAAGGAAAAGGAATCGTCTGTAAGATCGACAACCACCGAAGCACCAGAAACCGTCTGGACCCCAACGACCCCAGCTGCAACGACCACGGTCGTGCCCGAGGAACCAGAAACAACCACCGAGAATCTAATGACCATGACGACACCGACCACGGACAAACCAGAACCGACAACGATCCCAGAGTATTTAGGATCAATGAACACCGGGGATAAAACCAAGGAACAAGGACAGTCCGTGTCCAAGATGACTGACAACGAGGAAAAACCAGTGGATGATCGCTGGGAGGCAACAAAGCACCAGGACTGGGACGAAAAAGTCGCTCGAACCGCGTTGGATCTAGGATTTCTCACCGAGAAGTACGCGATCAAGGACAACGACGTGAACAAGCTGAACGACGACGACGACGACTGGGAGACCAGTCGTAGCGACGAGGTCGATAGAACAAAATTAAGACCCGTTGAAGAGGAAACAGAAACCACGAAAGTGATCGAAGAGGATCAAGATCATCCGAAGAATCATAGGACGATGTGGAGCGAGGTCAGGTATCTAAACTCCTACGATCGTGCCCAAGCGTCCGCCTGGAGCCCGGACCAAAAGACCAGCAGCCCCAAATCCACCACGGATATTCCAGGTTTGGTGAGCAAGCACGAGGGTGAGAACAGTGTGAAGACGTTGTCCGATTACGTCAAGGCGATCTTCGACACCATGAAGAGCGCCGAGGAGGAGACCACGAGTACTGATAGGCTAGAGGACCTAACGACGACTCTGCAGACGCCTACAGAGATGGATTTGGGAGAGGAAAAGGACACGACCAAGGTTCCTGAAGTGGAAACGACCACCCAGTCAGTTTTCCTGCCGGAAGACGGTAAGGAAGTGATGATCGAGACCACGACGAGGAATATCGATCCAGAGACAGTGACCATCTTGGAACGGGTTACAACCACCCAGGAGACCACGACCGGTTCGTCGACCGAGCCACCGGCCACGGATCCACCAACCACCACACCGACGACCACAACGACTGTGAATTCGACGGAATCGATCCTTGGAAAGGTCCTACGGACCTCCACCACCACCAAGGTCTCCCACATGACAGAAATTTGCTACAGAGGCCGTTGCGTGATGACCAGGCCCAGCCAAGAGGATCGCTTCAGATGAGGGGGATGAGCGTCGCAAAGAAGGCGAACCACACCTCGTTAATCGTTACGTCCTTCGATCCTGAAGTAAAAATGGAAATGTGGATCCGACGGGGCTGATCGCGATACTTCGCAAACCGAACATTCTTCTCTATTATTTATTCACCAGGTCGGAGAGACGCAAGTTCGATTAGGTTAAGATTGACCGTATGTGTATGAGCTGATCTTCCATTGGCGCCGCTGGATTTTACGGGTGTTGTGAAAGGGTGCTGAAGGTTCGTGTAAATTTTGGTCCCGGGATAGCTTCTCTTTAGGAGATCATTTTGATCCGATTTGAGACTCCACTATTGTCTAACAGACTCCGCTTACTGCCCAGAACAGAAAGGTTGTAAAATCGTTGGGAAACAGGTAATAGAAGCCAAAGGTGACTATTTTTTTCTGAAGTATTGTTTGATCCACATTGTGTACCATGTATCTCTAACTGATTAAAACAGCACGAACTTTCTTGGTTACCTGGTATACAGGGTGTCCCGCCTAACGTGAGCACCTTTAGTATCTCACTTGTTTTTGATTTGCAGAAACTTAATTTTTATGAATGCTCATAGTGACGTCCATCAAGTTGGATTCATTATTGCACTAAGCCCTCTATCGTAGTTACTTTATTATTTAATTCTACTCTCATGCGTTTGTCAATATTTCGTACCAAAGGTTACATGAAGATCACACTATTAAAGGTCATTGAATAGGTCTTGATAAAAATATGTAGTCCTGTTTAAAAAAAACATCGATGACCTTTAAATTTAACTTTGAAAAAATTTTTTTTATTGTAATATTTGCTCCTAACAAAATAATAATTTCCCCTCACGTTTTTTTTGTATCTTCAAAAAGGAGTTAGATATTGAAGGTACTCAAGTTGAGTGGGACACCCTGTGTGTATGCACATTGGAGAAAAGTGTACCTAAAGCTGGGTTGTTTCTCGTGTAATTTGTTACCAGGAATATTTTTTAACCTGCCCCCTTAAGGGGGTCGTACGGGTCGCGAGGGTTAAAAGTAATCCAGGTAAAGCACCTCCCCCCCCCCCAGTCAACGCGTAGACTGGTTCGATAAGGAAAAGTCAAGCACCCCCCTGCTCGACCTGCTTGAAATCGATCGTATGTGTCGCGAGACGGTTGCTTTTCTTTTCTTTTATTTGTTCACGGAAAAACACAAAGAGGGGGGCGAACACACTTCTAGCACACCCGTTCGGTCTGAAACCGGAGGAGGCTCGCGAGCCAACGCGCGCGCGAATCGTGTCCTGGCAGCGTCGCTTTAAACGATACACAGAGGGCTAAGTCTATTTAACTTAATTACATACCATCCCCGCCGCCGGCTGGTATACGTGTAAGTTAAGCGTTTAAGTATATTTTAATAAAAATAAAGAAGAAAGCAACTCCCCTTTTGTTGGTCCTTTCACCTCCCGAACGTTAAACCGCGATTAGTCAGATGCTGCGCAGTTAGAGAGACCTGATTTTCTTATTCGTTCACTGCTCCTGGTCCCGGATTACTTGTGATCACGATTCTGTTACAGTACCAGTGCTTTCGAATTATCGGATTTTTCTACTGAAATATGTTTTCTCGGTTTTTTTTTAGGTTATTCGAAAGATCGTATCTTTCGCATTAAAATAAACACTTTAGAGCAACTGAAATGGGCCATCCGGACAGAAATTTCATTAATTAAAACGGACGAAGTCATATACAAGTAAATCTTCGATTAATTTGTTAGAATTCGTGTCGCCAACAAAAGTAGTGGTAGCGGAAATTGGAACTAATCCTAAAACTTTCTAAGTGGCGCCATCTGATGGCGACCTTGCAAACTAAACCAAGAAGTTCTGGGTTTAGTTCCAATGTCGCTAGAATCCGTATAAATGCAGGGAAAATTCCTGGAATTTCTTATTTTTCGCGTTTATTTCATGCATCAACATGAGTTAGTTCAGCATGATTTTTTGTTCTCGGTTTCATTTTGGGACACACTTGCAACACTTTTTCTACGTACACCTCTTCTGTTGGTACACTACCATTCGTAAGTGTCACAGTAGGTGTATTGTCGATGACAGTATGTTAATGTAATGAAAGAGAAATATAATCATAGAATTGTTAAATGAGTTTACCTTTACTTTACTTTATTTTGTATTCGAAACTTATAAGAAAAATCACCAGGTCTAAAGTGACCTCGAAAAATTTTACAAATTGTAAACTTTTTTTTAACATCCTGTCACTCGTCGACCTTCTAACACCCCCTAAATACCATTTATTTTAAACTTTCTAAGTGTTCTAATATTTACTCGCAGGAGTGTACGTTATGCGATTGCAATTCGATCCGAGATCGATCCGTACAACTGAACCGATTAATATTACAATATCGCATTAATATTGATTGTATCACGGTAATCACAAGCTTAACATCCAATTTAACATCAAGCTGGTCCTATACAATCTCCGTTGAATATTAATAACCCTCCTAATAATACATAACTAAACTGTAACATTAATATTCATAATATAATCATGCTACCATCATCCAAAATTTTCATACGGTTAATCCTCTCACTGCATCTTTTTGGTGTTTTGTAATGAAAAATATTTGTTTCGTAATTCAAATAATTCGGGAACGAAAGGGTTAAGACTATTCCAAATCCTTCAATATTTTCCTTCATAAACAATCTCTTCGCTCACGATAAACAACGAATTAGTAGTCACGGTAAACACAGTTTCCCTACCGTTTGGACGTCATCGTAAAGAAGTATCGTCAAGAATGATGCCAAATATTGTCGCTAAACTAAAATAGTTACCGTCATTAACAACCGTAATCACGGCGACAAACAGATCCCCAGTATCGAAATTCCAAATTCAACGATAAAAACAAAATGAAATGAAATGAAAAAAGAAAAAAAACAGAAACACGCATTGAATATCGAGAGAACCGCCTAAAAATTGATTACGATTTGCGACGGTGGCGCCACGATGCCTGCAGACCCTAACCTGACCAGTAGTCGTTGGGGTTGGCTGGCAAGGGGAGAGGGAAGGGCGAACGCGGACGAGTAGCATAGAGGGAGCGGAGTTCAGTTCAGGCGCAAGGGTTCTCGGTTAAGGACGCGGAGACGGTCCTGCGACACGGGACACGATGCCAGGCGGCGAGGGGTCCCCGATCAATCTCCTCGGGCACCGTGCATCGACCACGTCTGGCGAGTGCGCGACGAACAGTGGTGACGAGGATGACGATAAAACGACGACGACGACGACGACGACGACGGGCACCGTACCGAGCACGATGACGAACGTACTCGCGGGCGACGGTCTCAGACGGAGGAAGGTCATACACGCGGCCAAAGAAACCTTCGACAAGGGTGAGTCTGCAGCTCGTCCCTCCCCTTCCCCTTTCACCGCCCCACATAGCATACACTATACACACATCGAACAGACTACATATTCTGCCATTAACCCGTTCATCGTGAAGAACCCATACATATATCACAGAAAGGTGTCACGAAATTGTCAGTTTCCATTCGATCGCATAAAATATCGCTCCCATACGTAGTATCACCGTCCAGAAAAATGACACAAACTAAAGTTGGGGTACTTCAAGCGACATTGTGCCTAGTGTCTGCTTTGTTTAATATACCAAGTGCTACGTGAATGTATCAGTGTATTTTGGGGTTAACTGACGGAATCGCATGTTATCGACTTGCGAAATTTTTCTTGTAGTGGGATATGAATTTCGAGTGACTTTTACGTTCAACGACGATCCTATTGCGTGCGTGACAAATGAATTTAGTAATTGTGTGACGTGAATGTGGTCCCTGTCGGTCGCGAAGGAAATGGGAATGTGTGTTAGACTGGCCAATAGGCAATTTTCATTTGGTGCTTTTGGCGATCGAAAGATGTCCTGTAAATCATCGATGAGTGTTCGAAGGCTCTTCGAGGAGAGGTCCCCAGGTGTAATGGTAACAGTTTACATGAGATTTAGCTTGGATATTCTGAAGCCAATGATATTTGTTTCAACCGCGTATGGCCAATAGTTTGTGAAATATTTTAATGTTCCCTGGACATTGATCGATGATTTCCTGTATATTCCAGTGAAATAGTATATTTGCTTTATGAGTTCGCAGGTTATAGATTTTGACACGAGTTCTGTGCGGTTTATTTCGTAACCGAATGGTTCGACGAGTCTTTTTGTTACCTTTCTCTCTCTAGGTGGGATGTTACGTTGGGTTTCCTCGGGTCTTTTATTATGTAATCCGGACAGAGGTAGATCGACGAAGTCATAAAGGGTTTTCAGTGATAAACATTGAACCGACCGACCAGGATATCGGTCCCTTTTGTGTGCGTGTGTGTGATTTGGCTGCGCCCGTGCATTGGCCATCACCCCCCCCCCCTTTTCTTTCTGTGGCCGAGATACACGGCAGTGTTTCTTGGATTAACGCTAGAAACTCTCCACGTAACCGTCAAAATATGATAGATTTCAGATTTCTGATTTTTTTCTACGATTACTGAAATTGTAAATGATACACGGGTGTTTCTTGTGTTCATTTTTAGACCCTCCCTCCCCCGACGCAAATAGGAGGGGTGTTAATACATTTGACACCTATGTTTGTATGTGTGTATGTGTTCCTCTATGGCTCCGTAGCTCATCAACGAGTGATCCGATTTGGTGCGTTTTTTTTAAATTTTAAAGTGTATATTAAGGGTAATAGCAATGTCTGGTCAAAATCGTTGCAATAGTTCCCAAGGTCTTCAATTTTCTTCATAATTTCCGGGGATTTAAAAAAATTTTTGATGTATCAGTTAATAAACTAGTTTCTTCCGGGTATTATACTAAAATCGTGGTTATATTGCACAGTGCGCGAAATGATTAGGCATCTTATGAATATTCTTCGATAATTTCATACACAATACTATGTTTTTTTGCTTTTTTATAATATTATCCGCCAATTTCTCAAACACCCTGTATAATCTGAACAGCCACTAATTAATTTCATTTGAGTTATTTCGGTTATATCCTTGAAATCTTAAGACTGAAGATCTTGTCGTTAGCACAAAGTGCCTTTTAATTAGAGCAATTGCGGTTCATTTTCAGTACTCTGTGTGGCAGAGTTCATACTTAATAGTTAACGTGGCTGAAACGAAATATGATCGTCTTCCGTTAGGCCGTCCTTAAAATGCACACATTCACGTCCAAACAATTTATGTGTGCGCCATTACATGGAAAAAAAACGTCTACGACTGCAGAGTGAAGTGGGGTACTTTTGACCATTCTTCACGCGAAACTTACCCTCGCAAAAACGTCGAAGCTATATGTACACACATTCCTTTTACGATGTTGTATACATTCCGGCCATCCAGCGGCGAATATCCACTTAGCACTTTGGCAACCGTCGAAGTTACCGTTTACTGGACGTTGTCCTCTATTCAGAACTCGGGACGTAACTGAAATACCATTTGTACCATAAACCGACGCAAACCGTATGTGAATTGTGGACCGCAAAATTTCGATCATACACTCTGCTGGAGATTTGATTGTTTCGAGAAAAATTGTACTTAAAACTAGAAATGTCAATGACTTGAATCAATTTCCACTAATTTAATTATTTATTTAGTTAGTTATTATAATAGTATAAATCTAACACTGCGTACGAGAGAATTAAATCAAAATCAAAATAGAAACAGTTACAGCATATACAGTGATTCACAAGTTTCGTCACGAAAAGCTATCACTTTTATTTGACCAGAGTATGTATTTACCAAAATGCGAATTTGATTTAGAAATTGCGTATTAAGCGTTGACATGTAATTGCTATTTCAGAAGTTTGTGAACAAATTTGTGAGTCACTGTAGTATACACTAAGGAATTGATCGTAATAGAGAATTTTTAATTAAACATCGACTCAAAATTTCTACTCTGTGCATACACTTTCGACTTAATACTTCACGAAGTAATCGCCCCTTCGCCGGTAGTACCATCGACAAAGTGTGACCACCCTGTATTAATCGTGGCATCGCGTTCACGTCTGGCTGCTCTCACGAGTTCGTCTGTATCCCATTCCAGCCTCAATGTAGAGGGTGTCCACTCGACTTGAACGAGCCATAGCGTTAAAACGATAAAAGATGGAAAAAACTTTCATTAGAACTAATCAAATTGTTTGGAGTGATGCACGGCCAGCAGACTCATCTTCTGAATGGTCGGGGTTTTTCGTTAATATCTTGTTAACAAAGCTTCGGAGAACCTTTTTACTTAGGAAAAAGTTGTTTCAAATCACCCCAGGAATCGCCCTTTTCAAACACTTACACGTATTTTGGGACACCGTGTATATTCTTTAATATCTTCTTCATAGCATGAACCTATTTTGAAATGAAAAAATACAGAATTGAAAACATGTCATTTTTTTTTTAAAAAAAAAGGCAATTTTTCAAGTAAAAAATACTGAAAAATATGATTTCGTTTACTGTTGTATGGTATTGGGCGTCATTTTACGAATCGCTGGCGGTACTCCTCGTGGACGTGACTGTTCTGAGCTTCTTTCATACGAAGGGGCGATCGAGACGTTTACGAATGAAGAATCTGAGGAATGTTTGCATTAGAAGTTGCACGAGGGTGCCCGCGAGTGTTTCAGGGGATGAGTGTTTCAGGGGATGAGTGTTTCAGGGGATGAGTGTTTTCCAAAGGCAGAGGAGGGTGTGGACGTGAGAAGAGGGCGGTGAAAGTAGCGAGACAAGTGACGTGAGCATACATATAGTGTGTCTAGAGTCTAGGAACATTGTAGTAGCCACAATATTCGCGAAACAATCTCAGAAATCAAGATTTTAATTACCTGGCGGACTCACATACTTCAAAAAACTTATCGATAATTGAAAATTATCGCAAAAGTTACTAGGCACAGTACCAAAAGTTGTTACAAAAGTTACTAGGTATTAGTGCAGTACGTTACTTTTCACTGGACCGAACATTTCGAATTTCGAACTCCTTACATGCGTCCAAAAATAATGGCCGCCAAATTTAAATTCGTATCATGGTTTTGCTTCGTTTTATCCAGCAGGAACCTCGACTTCCGCCGATAAAATTTTGAAAAGACGTATCGCCGCCATGACACCTTGCTAAGTGGTTAACGTTTTAACGGTAAAAAAATCCTATTTTTTGTCCAGGTTCCGCAATTTCGTTCTTTTATCGCGAAAATCAACCGTCCTGTCCAGATGCCTGGCGTAAAGTCCCATGGGGGTGGGGGGTGTAAACGCTGGTGGGTAAATCGCGTGACACGCGTTGTCGCTTACGGCTATCACGATTTTGTGGTAAATCGTCCTCTTATCGTGACAACGGGATCGAGGAATCGGTCGTTTGTCATTTCTAACGGGGAAATTGTTGCTCCCGCGAATTGAACGGTGGTTTCCGGTTTGTTCATCAGGGTGGTTCTTAAAATACGAAATCTTAAAATTATATCGGTGCACCCTGTTATTTAGTTCTCCCACCTAAAAGACGAGTGTATGTAATTTTTTTTTTGTAGTTCAGATAAAAAAAAAACGTTTCAATCTAATTCGATCTGTCTGGATATGACACACGTGTTCTACTCGTTTGACCACGGACGACCTATTCCACTTGTGTGACCAGTGCAGTCTGCTTCTACGTGTCTGACAATAATATTCTGTTCCACTTGTTCGATACCAACCGCCGTATTCTACTTATCTATATTAACATCGAGCTAATGGTCACTATACTTTTACAACTGGCATTTACAGAGTGAACTACTTTGTACACTTGTTTTCGAATATTTGTTATTTAGTTGAAAGGGACAAACACTGTGATAGTAACATGTGAAAATAATTTTTCTGGACAATCAGAAGTAAGTGAGATATTTAAGGTTTTCTCGTTAGATGGGACACACTGTATATCGCCCCCGGATAATCCGCGAATCCGGTGACCCGTTTCGGATGCGCGGGGCCTATCTTAGTGTACCACGGGGCGTTATTATTATTATTACCATATCGAGTCTATTGCGGCAGACGGTATTAATATCGAGCGAAAGTTGGACTCCGATACTCCAGGATTACGTGGAGGGGCGATGGGATTCGACGGATTTATTCCGGTCATACTGCAGATTTCAGGGCGGTTCTTCTTTTTCTCGGTAATGGGAGAAAATATGGTACCACCGGCTGTGTATCGTCTCACGGTCTACGTTTTCGAACGATTCGATATCGATGAAATATACATAACTTCCGGCTGACCTAACCCCGTTTCAGGTCGATGCTTCGTGTCAAATGGCTTCCACTTAAAGTCAACAGACTGATTACGAATGTTCGAAATGGAACCTTTTATGTTTCTGTTACTCTTTCGTTTTCTAATAGTGGTAGGCTTTCGCGCGCAAAATCACCCATTTCAAGATGGCCGCCTGACTTCGTAAATGATCTTGTATATTACGATAAAGTCTTGCACTGTTAGGAGAATGGTTAATGACGACATGAAGATTTCCGTGGGAGATAAAATGTATACGCGTACAAAATAGTAGTCGTTGTTTGTAGATTATTGTTGAAGTAACTGTATTGTTACCGCAGCCAGGCCGGAAAACACGGACCTTGTCGCACAGGGTTGTAGATTTAACCGTGAAAGTTAATTATAACGCCCGAGAGATGAGGGAGGCTTATGAGGAAAGCCGTAAACAAAGGGAAACGATTTTAGTACAGTGACCCCTAAGAGGGGCGTAACGAACCGTGACGAGAACTGATGACCATGGGATGAAAAAAAAAAAAACCGTGGACTGTCGAGCCACAATATTGGTAAAAAAATACAATGTGGCTTGTTCTACCTGACAAAGAGTCGCTGGTATCGAAGTTATATTTTCATTTAACAGCGTGACCACTGATACGACGCCACACTGGAACCGTCACGCGAGAGTTAATTGTTACTTTATAGATATTCAGAGTTATTCAATTTTTTTACATAAGTTGTATTTACTAGACTTGGGCATTATCGAAATTAACTATTTGAAAAACAATCTTCAAGATAATATATTACCTTATCTGGCTAAATGTTTTTTGAAATAATCATGTGTTAGTTTATTCGAACAGACAAACGACTTATGTATCTTCAGATCATTTCGTTATTTGGATTTCGAATGAAATAATTTATATTTTTTTTAAACTATAACAATTTCCATGTTCTAAGTTTAATGATTAATTCAATTCAATAATCTCTTATGTCGAATTATTTCTTATTTTATTCGAGTGAAGTAACTGAAATAAAAAATTCACGATTTACTCTTCGAATAACTGTTGAATATCATATACCAAGTATGAGTTGAGAAACAATTAATGGAAGACGAAGTGGAGTCAGTTGGATAGAATGATCGTGAATAAGTCGAATACTCGAGAATTCAGACTGGTCGCAACGGTTACACGCGAAAGGGGGCAAGGTCACGAAATTCCAGGCCTCAATCGACGTTTATCTATCGGTGGTACAAGTCTCTGGGGTTGAGGCTTGGTGTGCTTCTCCGCCCCACGGCTGCTCTGAATACTCCTCGCTATGACGTAAGAGGCTCCTCCAACCCGTTCTGTTGCCACCCTTCCGAAAATGAGGCGTGTTAGCATTTCAGAAACGAGATCGAGCCGTCAATAGACGAAATGGAGGCCCCTCTGGACGCTCCAGTGACTTTATCGGGTTCCAGGTCATTGATTATTTATGAAACGAACACCAAAATTACCGGATATCAATTAATATATACACACACTTTTATACACTAGGACCTTAGCCACGCTTTTTGTGTATCTCCCTGCCTTGGTCCCTTACCCTGGACAAAAACGAAACTGTCTCCAAAAGGTTACTGTGTTCTTTCTTGTTACAGTAAATCCTCGATGAGTGTTGGCTCCTCGGCATTAACAAGAGGTTCCCAGGTGTAACGCCAACTTTTTAATGAGATTCAGCACAGTGATAGAGCTTGGAATTCTGAAGTCAATGATATTTGTTTAGCATATGGCCATTAGTTTATGAAATATTTAACATTCAGTGCCGAGGAGCCTTCGAATACTCGTCGAGGATTTATCGTATACTGTATATCTTGAAAACTACAGTAGATAGAAAAAACCTTTCATCCTGAAGGGCCGAATATTAGCAAAACCGGAAAAATTACCTCCGTCTAATGAGGTGACCAAAAATGGCCGCCGAACACCGACTCGTGCCCGTTTCATGCTAATCGAATCAAAGCCCCGTCGGGTCGTGTTTACGACGAATTAGCATGGCGACATGCATCTCGTTAACGAGAAGATCGTCGCGTGTCCATCGATTATGCAAGCTATTAACGGGCCGATTTAACGGTTTATTAGCGACGTCGAGATTCCCTGCTACCGTCACCACGGCGGGAAAATTGATATCCTTCCCTGTAAAAATTTGCAGGCGTTAACGACGCGGTTTATGAGACACGACAACACGGATGGATGCTTTGAATAACAATAACACAGCTTTCTTTTTTTCTTTCTTTTTGCAGCATCCCGTCTTCTTAGACGGAAGATACCATGCACCGGCCACTTGATGACCCCCCGCCGCCTATGGATACAAAAGGTTCCAACTCAGGTGTGTAGAGACAATACCGTCAATGTCAAATGTAAGCCCGTGCTTTTTAATTAACCACGAAGTGGACTTCTCGTTCATTTCGCCTTTGTTGTGCACGATCTAAGGAAAGACATTGGTTGCGAGCTTTAGGCCCTGTTACAGATCGACACCTTATATACAGGGTGTCCCAAAAACACCGGACAATCCGCAACATACATGTTCCTCGTCCAAATACAAATCGAAAAGTCCTTTACCATTTTGTAATCTGAAGTGCCATTTTCGATATATTACTAATAAATCGAACTCCAATTAGTGAGCTACATGTACGCCCCCTGTTCAGCCTATTGGGGTTCGTTCAACTGCTAATATCTCGGAAATGGAGCTTCAGATTACAATACGGTAAAGGACTTTTCGATTTGTATTTGCACGAGTAATATGCATCTTGTGGATTGTTCCATCTTTTTGGGACACCCTGTATAATGGAACTATATAATTTATATAACGTAATAGGTACAATAACGTGGCCTATTTCGGAACCAGTGTACGTAAGATATTCTTCGCGACCGTATTACCGCGTGTAACTTCTCGAAAACGATTGCGTCCGATACAAATGTATACGATTGTTATTACGATCGTAATTGACCCAAGACCCTGTTATACCACCCGCGTGCTCCATATCCAACCAGCTCCTTCAAGATATCTCTCTTATTGCATGCATAATGTTCCCAGCGATTAAATCGTCCGACGCGCAAGTCTCTTTGGGCTTGATATTTATTCACGTTTGCCTCGCGAGCCTTAAAAGGTCACGACGACGATGCTTCTTCACAGTTGGTGATCACCCACCGTCGAGAGCTCGTTACGACCGCACAATACCGGTCGTCAACGGACGAGGAGAGTCAAAGGGCGGAGTGTCCTTTAGTGTTCCCTTTCTCGAGACCGTACACCGTAGAAAAACCACGAAAAACTAGTTTCATATTCAAACGATTTTCGCGCTATTGATAGAAACGTTCATTCACCGGTGAAATCTGTATTTTTTTTTTTTTTTTTTTTTTTTTTTTTTTTTTTTAAATTGAAGTCCCATACGTTACAAAACGATATAGATATTGAAAAAAATCTAATTTTCAGATGTTAAATATTTATTCATATTATTGTCATTTAAAGTTTGACTGGTTACAAAATCTCTGAACTTCTACAGCTCCGTTAATCAGTAAACTTACATTTTTTGAAATTGTGACATGCGTTTTTCCACAGTCACAGATATAGGTACATGCATTCGAATGGTCGGTCCACCGCGGAAATTCCTAGGCAACCGTGAATCGATACGACGCCAGCCGGCTAACCTCGCGGCGCACGGACGTCGGCACCACGCGAAACTGGGATTCTTATTTGTTCTATGTGGCCGCGTTCCCGGATAATAATCAGAATTAAATCAGCGTGGCTTGTTTACTGAGCAACATCGGTCGAAATTGGTGTCAGAGGGGGGTGCGGCTGACCGTTGTCCCGAAATTACGGTAGTTGACCCCGAACGGGCAGATCGAAGCTTCGATTTTCCGCCGTTGATGGCGGTAATTTCGATCTTCGAACAAATAGCGTCGAACCGGTACGAACGCATTGAAATTGACTTCGTTAATATTGATTTTCCTTGTTTGTCTGTGGAGGTAAAGAACCACCGTTAAACCATAACTGGACGGGAGCGTGAAGGTGCATCGAAATGCAGGAATCTATAAAGAAACCGCGAGCGTAAAGTGAAAATAAACACAAGAACCCGGAAGAATAGTGTGGGATGGGGGGGGGGGAGGATCGACGGAAGGCGGGAAGGTCGAACTTTTACTGTTGAGGGATCAGGGGATTCGCCCATTGAAATCAGTAGAATAGTAAGCTGAGCTAGAACCTTCCACTATTCCTGAATTGAGTACCGCTGACGCTTACTGCGCGCACGCGGTCCCGAGTTTCGCGCAGTTAACGCGACTTTACCGTTCACGCTGTTAGAGGACATTCCGTACAAGCGAAATTTGGCGAGTTAGCAGTCCAGTATGTAATACACAAGTCTCCGGGCGGACCATTTCATCGAGAGATGGTGAAAAATCAGATGGTGAAAGTAGATAGAAGTGGAGCATCGAGAAAGGGAAAATTAATATCCACAGATCAATAGGACGATGCGATCGTACGACGTAGGCGCGTGTGAATCGGGAAAAGTGGAGGCGGGCGCCTTTGTCCGCGGGTATAATGCATGGGCTAATTAATACGTCTTATGACATAGAGCCTATCCCTTAATTAGTCTTCCGATGGTACGGACCGAGTCGAGTCGCAGAAACGCGATTACGCAGGGGTGGGGAGACTTTATCAGCGGCTGCCAGATGGGACCGCGGTTCCACTTTTTGCACAGGACCTACCGATTTGTTTCTATTATTAAGTGCCCCCCCCCTCCCCCCAACGCTCTCTATCGATTCCCACGTCGCTCTTGCCCGCGAACTGTGTGCATCGACCGGACATGTGTAACGACTAACCTTCATAGATTCATGTTCGAGCTTAAGGGGGTTAGGCCACTTTGGACGAGTCACAGTTATAGTCGTTTTTCGGCAACTTTTTTTTTGGGGGAGGGGGATAATGAAATAACTGGAAAATTCATTGTAAAGTATTTTATTGTACAACTATCGACGGAAAGAGTCGTATGTTTTTGTTTCCTTGTAAAATGGCGGCGCTAGAACCGAGCACGCAAACATCTTTTCGAGCGACGTCCTCCACAGTGTTCAACCTCACGGTTACACCGTTTGATCTGGGGCAGAAAACTAAAGATTTTTATGTTCTACACGCGAAAAACTAAAGAAATACATACGGATTTTTGGGAATATTTAATTTTGTGGAAATGATAAGCACGTGAAGAAAAGCTACATTTCTTTCTCAGAGAAATTTGGTAGAAAAGTGTCAAGTCCGAAAAATCTATTCAAAATACAAAGCGAATCGAAATACATCGCGGTTCGTTCCGTTTCGAGCCTTGGTTGTATTTATAGGTGGAATACGGCATCTTCGATATCCGACGACGTTATTCGAAATCGTGGAATACATAATGCATCTGGGGTGCACGATATGCTTCGCCCGTCGTAAGATCGTTAAACGACGTGTCGCGTGCACGTTTGGTACACACTCGACTTCAAATGGAGGTACAGATTGTCGATATCTATTGAAACTTATCAATTCTTCGTTTCTTTCTTTTTTTCCATCGGTCTAACTGATCTGAGGATGCCTTTTTAACATTATTACATTTATAGTCAGTATTATTATCATATATTTACTGGACCGAATTGCGTACAAAAGATTTCCCGTATATCTGAGTTTTGTATACGTTATAACTCTCGTATAACGCGGTGATTGGGTTCCTAAAAATGTCTATATTACACGAGTTTGTGGTATATACGAAACTAAGAACCACACTAAATCATCGGTGTGTGTTCGAAGGCTACTCGGCACTGGACATCAAATATTTCATGAACTAATGGCCATATGCGGTCAAAACAAATATCATTGGCTTCCGAATTCCAAGCTCTTTCATTGTTGTACAGGGGTTACCTGTACAGTATTATTCAACACTATTACAAGAATTAAATTTTTTTATTTTTTTTTGCTTTGTTTTTAATACAATTTTTACTAACGTATTTGTGAGATTTTTCTGATTAAAATCACACCAAACACGGTATAATTTGAATCGTATTTACTTACTGATCATTTATGGCACTTAATATCAGTAATTCAAATTATATCGTGTTCGTTTTTGTTTTAATCAGAATATGTAGTTCCATTCAGAAATAGTACATTGTTACTAAAAATGGTGTAGATTCACCCCCTGAAGCCACGACTATTAATTTTGATACACCCTGTATACATACGAAAAAACAGGGTTAATTTCCAATAACTGACGAAAAACCACACTATTCTATACAATTTTTCGATTATGTTAAAGCGAAACCGTGTATTATACGGGGATTGCCTGTACATTATCTTCAATGTTTTCACCATATTTTTCATTTATCGCGTGATAGTATATCGTGTCTATAAATTGTTAGCCTGTATAATGTTCCGGCGATCGACTTATTCCCGTTCGATTGCGTTGGCCATCGAGAACTCTACCCGTGACGCGACCTTTTCACTCACGAGTAACTGACGTCCAGCCACAGAAAACACACGTTTATTTTCCGTTCACAACACCAGGCTATCCGCGACATTAAACGCAACACACAAGATGTGCAACAGGTGTCGTACAAAACGGATATCGTTCGACATTTAAAGTACGGTCTGTCCGGTTTTTCACCTGTCCTTCGTTTCGTTTTCCCCTAAGGGGCGAACCTCGTGTAACAGATTCAACAAATCGGAACATTTTTTTTTTATGCATATCAAATGTAAGAGCCGTTCATTTGCCAAAATGATTAAATCCACAAAAATGATCAAAGAAATTTATTTTAAATATAAAAAGTTAATGACCAATCGAGTGATTCGGGACTAAAATTCTTTACTCTATCCGACGGGTATATAACACGAAAAATGTTATGTAACATCGTGTTAAAGGTATAACAACTTATTTCTTGTTTTTCTTAGAAGTCATAACATTGCTATATAATGTGTTATGTTACATGCAGTGTAGACGCAGCTTAAGCCCCCTTAAATCGTACACCCTGTATGTTCTTAACCATAGAAATTCAAACAGACATATTTCACTTATAAAAGGGAGTGCTTGTTTTTTTTTTTGTATCTACAGTAAATCCTCGGTAACTGTTCCAAGGCTCCCCGGCACTGACCATGAGAGATCCCCAGGTGTAACCTTGACTTTTTAATAAAGCTTAGCACATGGACAGATCTTGGAATTCTGAAGTCAACGATATTTGTTAAAACCGCACATAGCCATTAGTTTATCTAATATTTAATGTTCAGTGCTGAGAAGCCTTCGAACACTCATCGAGGATTTACTGTACAATTTATCCTGTTTATAAAATGAGATCAGAGCAAAAAATATTAAATAGGGTTAATGTGATCCTGATAGGAACCTAATGGAGGTCGCGAACTCTGTTACGTCACGCCACAAACGTTCGCAACAGACCAGGTGCACAGGTACTTTCCTTAATCCTGATTCGTAAAGTGGGGTCCGGTTTTCGGTGAATTTCGTTGTCGGCTACTAGGTCAGGCATGCCATCGGGATATCGTTGCACGTGGATTGGCAATACCATGCAGTCTGTACCCGCTGTTTGGACGAGGGCCAGACGGGAACGATGTTTCCCTGGTCGTGCCAGAATTCCGGCCGGTCCCCCGTCGGTGTCTACGGCTCCACGGTTGCGCGGCGAAATAATTTTCCTTTATCAGGCCGACGACTGTGAAAAACAACACCGTGGCCTGAATTTATCCCACTCGATGTATACAGAGTGAACCACGAATCGTGATCAGTAGATATCATTAAATGTGTTCCAATGTACAGAACGAAATGTTTACAAACAAAACGCGTACAAAATGCTACATAATTCATTAAAACGTTTTTTGATACAATCAATAGGTAACGAGTTATTTTAGATAGTATATAAATCTTATTTACTCACCCTGTATATACCCACCTTGTACGAATAAAATGAACTCAGTAATAATCTGTACAATAATAAAGCCCCGTTCCACCTGACAGTAAAAAGTTTGTAATTATAAATTAAGTAGACGAGTATACTCGTCGTCAAACAAAAACCGAAAATGCCATCTTTTCATGACGATTATACTCGACATAAACATCGTTAGGGGTTGAACGATGGTGGTGCTATCAGCATCGAGCACTGCCATTAGGGATATCCGCCATTTTATTGTGTACCGATACCAATAACGACGCCCATTGAACGACCCCGTTACCGTGTGCTACAGGAATGCGACGTCGTAATGATGTTCCCGAGTGGAGCGAGCGACGAGACTTTGATGTGGCTTCTAGGTCGCCTACGGGCTGGAACCCCGGGCCTAGTTGTACACGTCCGACACCACGCCTCGTCGGATAGTTACGGATTTTACTTAACAGCCCCATTTAGCGTGTAAGTACACCGTTTATATACAGTATTAACTTGGAATAATACCCGAAAATTGGGACTGAAGCTACCGGCTGCTTACAAAGTAGCAGTGTCGATTCCAAATGTAGAATAAACGACGAACATAGAAAAAAACGAGTGAAAAAGAAAAGACATTAACAATAAAAGATTTACATACAAAGATACGAATTTCGTGTGATTTCTATAGATCGTTAAAGGCCGCCGAGGAGGTACATTTGCCAAAGACGCTGCGTCAGGAATTCGGCGGTGGTCTGAAAGAGTTCGTTGGTTCCGAGGCGAGTTGCTTCGAGGGAAGCGACGACGAAGCTCAATTCTTCACCACTCAGGAAAGGCAATCCCTGGTCCTGCACCTCCTGCACACGCTCAGAGCGGGGCCTCAGGACCTTCACAGTCTGTCCGGTCTTAAGATGGTGGAAGGACAAGCAATTATTCCAAAGTGCATTTCTTCTGGGATCATTTCCCAGGTAGCCGTGAATCTTGAATCTTTTCGGTGATCTTTTTGACGCTCCAGTGCGATTTTTAAGTGCTTCTGAATCGGTTTCGTTTCAGAAGACAAATCTTTGAGGCCATTTATCGCATTTATACACACAGTTTCGCGATTAGGAATTTTCTTTTAAAAGGAAACAATACCGATATGGTAACAAAATTTGATGACCTTTATTTATTATACATTGAAGTAAATAAAAAGAAAAATTTTGTTTCAATATTCCTGCATTGTAGGTGAGGCTAAATATGCCACGTTGTACGAATATTAAACCAAAAAATTTTCTTATTTACTTGAATGTATAATAAATAAAAGCTAGGAAGTTTGTTTGCCATATCTTTTTTGCTTTCTCTTAAAAAAATGTCTAAATTTGTATCACCTTTTTTCGGGCCGCTATAGAGGAAAGGGGCCTTAAGTCGGTTTGTTCACGTGATTAAGATAATTTTTCGTTCTTAATAGAAGAATTGGTTTCCTTCCGTTAAATAACAGGTCTTCCCTCTTCACGAATTGCCTGCGTTGGAGAAGCTGCAACGGACATGGGTCCGTGCGTTTCTCAGCCCTCAACCATTGGACGATATTTGTAAATACTTCGGAGTAAAGATTACAATGTATTTCGCGTGGCTCGGCCATTACACCACCGCTTTGATCGTTCCAGCTGCAGTGGGTGCCATATATTGGGTAACTGGATCTAATTATTTTTTATTTTTAGGCTAGACCTCTTTGTCGTACGTAGACATTCAAAAATGTTTCATGCAAAGTTTCTCAATTCATCATTCGCAAATTCACGGTCTGTGGTTACCAGTTGTAAACCATGCAAAATTTAATTGTTCACGCTCAATCGAGACGGTACCGAGTTGCGCGCAGTTAACGCGACTTTACGGTATCTCGATGCTTGAGCAAAATTTCGGATAGTTCTAAATAAAATTCAGCTCCGAAATGTACGTAATCAGTGTCTGATACGAATATCTCAGCGTATCCTGTGAAGGGAATCACGAAGAAATTGGCAAATACATCGGGGACTGACAGTATGAAAAAATTCGTCAACAGGTCGGCATCATCGGCAGGAATCAAGCGGTGGAAGACGTGGCCTACGTTCTGTTTTCCGTCTTCAACGTGATCTGGGCCACCGTTTATCTGGAGACCTGGAAGCGACGAGGCGCCGAATTGGCCTACAGGTGGGGCACCTTGGATCAGAGAGATGACCTACTTGTCGAGCCCAGACCTTTATTCACGGTAAGCTGTAACGAATCGATCACATTTTCTTCTCTTTATTCCTTTGTTCCATCCTCTGTCTGTTGTTCACACCGTGACCAGGGCACCTTGGAGATCTCACCTGTGACAGGACGACTGGAGCCAACTTACCCGAGATGGAAGAGAAACATATTCCGGTACTTCGTCAGCGTACCGATCATCGCGGCGTGCTTATTCTTTGTTTTCATCGTGATGATCCTGAGCTTCCAGATACAGGTACGGACACGCCCCCCTATGGACCTATTAGTTACAGCCTGTACCGTCGAGTTTGATCCCGTAATTTAATAAATGTCTCGCGCACCGTTGTGATTTATCGTTTCGCGTATCGACCGCCATATTGCTCGATGAAAAGCTACCTCCATGGTAAAATATTGAATAAAATAATTTAACATTCACGAGCGCTCGCCTAAGGTTAAAGAAAACTAAGAGGTGGTTGCACCAGTAAATGAACATTATATATAAAAACGAGTAAATTAAGTTATTAAAATAAGCAAATGATTGAATATTGAGCTGGTCGAATTCCTTGTTTCAACAGCTTTCAAGTATTTGGAATAAAAATTATGATATCGTGATTCGGGCCATAAACAGTTAAAGAAATAGTCTGATTGTAATTTATGACAACTGAAGCGTCGGAATATCAAATCGTAGTGTTGAATATTCAACTCGTTTGGTCGTGAATAAAAAAGCAGCAGGGATATTTCTACTAATTTTGATGTCTGGGCACGGTGCCCGATTTTCCCGGTAAGTCGCGGCGGCAACGAAAAAAGCCCTAAAATTTAGCACAGAACCCCGAAGCACACGTTTTTGCATTGTCGACAGAGAACAAGCGACACCGAAGAAATCTCGCGCAAAAAGGTGTCGAACTTTTTGGCAATTGCAGTGTCGGTTGAATGGAGGCCAGTTGGCCCCCGAGATCGATTTATCATTACGACAACGGCGGAAGTAATAACATCGAGTTTCACTCCGGAATAACTTCGAGAGCAACGCGTATGAGTATTCAAGTATTCGGTGTGTTCGAATTTTTTTTTATATATTTTTTCACACTATATTTTAAATCTGAATCTACGTCAGAAAGTTTCTGTTACTCAAATACTATTTGAATTACTTGAAGTATTCGAATACCTCGAATAAATTATTCGAATAGTCCGAATAACCAAACACTTACAATACTAGTCCTTATCCCTATGCTACTTTTTCCCCCAACAGAATCTGAGTTTGTTCGTTGGCGTACATATTCGTTTGCGTATTCTGTGACTCAATGCATACGTTCCATCATTTTATTATGTCAATCGATCCGTATCACTCTGATAGACACTTTAATTCAATTTCCCGATAATTTAATTCCGCGATAGAATACGCAACGAACAAGACAGCTGATCGATTGGATCTCGTGATTTTCATCACGTTCGTCAATGGAAATTATTAACTTCACCGACACGAAATCAGGTCCGTCGATAGCAAATTTCAAATACGCGAACGACAATAAGTAATCGTTTGTAAAAAGGTTTTTTTACTCCTAATTCTATCAAATATTTCTAGAGGGTTTATTATTCATCAGAGTTAAAAAAAAATTAGATTTTATTATGTATAATAGCACTATAATGGGAATTATTATACGGAACTGTGATAAAAGTAAAAAAAGAGTTGCGCAACCCATTCGCGCAGTTATCGAGACTTTACTTGTATTTTCGAATGTTCGCAGGACTGGTGGGACGCTCGACTGGAATCCGGGGGATACGGGTTCTGGCTGAGCTACGTGCCAAAAGTTTTACTCGCCGTGGTGATAGCTTTAATGGACGAGGCTTACTTTAAGGTCGCCGTATGGTTGAACGACATAGGTACGTATAGACGGATAGGGGAACGGTCCCACTGATTCACCTGTAGTCCCTGTCTACTTTGTCTTTGACACCCGATGATCGTTCTCGATGCGAATCGAGGGACATACGTTTACCAATTCTCTCCTCCCCCGCATCGACTCTTGTTGTTATATATATTTATATATAATATTATATCACCGAGACACTGTGCACGTATAATTTAGTTTCCAAGTGCCTAGCATATACTTACTCTATCTTCGAATCTTTTCACGGCTTAGCTTTCTTCTAGAGAGTAATAACTATTACCCCGAACTCTACTCGTCCCCGATATTAACATTGGCAGGTGTCGATCGACACGGCGAACGATTTTCTGTTCCATATCCTAACCTTTATTAACCCTTCCACCAGCAAGTTGTGGTTAAAGGATACAAATCATCCCAGAGACTTCTCACACGTACCACTGCACTCTCCACATTCTGTTCTCTTCGTCTTCGACTATTATTTTCCGTTTAAGTCTCATTTCGTTCTTCCCCTCTTTACATTCTGTTTTAAGTATTCTTACATATCGGAGACCAGTCACGTTTACAAGTAGATAGTATTTGTGATTTTTGTGTGTTGGACGCAGAAAACTATCGGCTAGACACCGAGTACGAGAATCATCTGATCTACAAAGTGGCACTGGTAATAAGAGAACACTCCATTTACCACGATTAGATTGTGTGTCTCTGTGTCTGTCTGTCTGTATGTGTGCGTGCGTGCGTGCGTGTGTGTGTTTCTGTTGTGCTAGCTATCGTTTTCGCAGCTGTCCTCCTCTAACCGATCTGCCGCGTCTGCCTTCTTTCGGAGTTTTGTGACCGTTAGAAGGTTTCAAAATTTGTCCGTACATGTTTGATTATGTTTCAAGATAACACAGTATAATTTGTATGCAATTATCTTGACAACTATCTTGTCTTGCTTATGTTGCAACTATCTAATTAAAATAACAATAAAGATAATTCCATAAACATTATACTGTGTTATCTTAAAACATAACCAAACATGTTTACAAAATTTTAAAGCTCCCTATAATAACCTAACCATGTTTCGTTTCATAAATCCTCTTAAGGTGCGTATCCACTTGTTGCGTATCATCGTTCTGTATCACTGTGGACGGACAAGCGCTGCATCGTTGCGTATGAAAATGTATCGTATGGTGATACGATACTATGATACGCAACGGTGATACGACACGACGATACGCAACAAATGGATACGCGCCTTAAGATTGCCGGCTCTGAATGGGAATACCCCCATTAAGGTATTTCACGGTAGAGTCGCAGGAAACGTTAGAAAATAATGAATTCGATCGTACATTTAGAGGTGGACCCTTATGTGTTAGTAGTAAAAATTAGAGCTCAGACGCTTTTTCGTGTCAGTATTTTGAAAGTGAAAGTGTCTGCTCTGGCTGTCTCTGTCGCTGCATGGAAATTCTATTCTCTTTCTCGAGAATACTTTCTGCTTGCGCTTTCGTCGGATTCGACGTATGTCCGTAAAACGTGTTTTCCGTGTGTTTCTCGCTTATGCGCGTCCTGCACGCGCGCTCGTTCGTTAGTGTTATGTGTGTTAATCCACCTACGACAGATAGAAAGTATACAGAAGAGAACTATGTATTTCAGTTTCAGTTTGTAAACTCCTTCCTATCGCTATTTTACATCGCCTTCTACCTACAGGATCAAGAGAGACTGAAAGAGGTAAGGGCCCCTTTATTTCCCGTTTCTTCCCTGTACTTCTATTGTATTTCACTTTCTGGTAACTCTTCTTCGATGGGCTAACGTGGCAGCCAACACGATACGATAAAACGTATGTCGAGCTTCTAAAAAATTGTTCTTCTTGACATTGCATTCGTCTGTATTGAATTTCTCTTTCTATCGTTGAATATCGAATTACTAACAAGATGGCGTCTTTTTCGTCTCATGGAAGTATCGTTGAAAATAATAAAAATCAGATCCAAATTGGCACATGACGCCTTGCAGATGGCTTAAAGGCGCCTCAGGCGTAAAATAGCCGTAAAATGGGCGTTTTCAAGGAGTCATGTGCTATCTGGGATTACGAAATACAGGAAGGAAAGTCATTTTTAGTTGTGTACTTGTTATTTCGTTGAGAAAACGTTGCGTTGGCCCCTCAAGAACGACCGTAGACACACACGTTTATCGATATTAGACTTTACTACTTGATAGATCGAGTGTTTGTCGATTTTGAATTCTTGAGAAATCTTATCTGTCTGTCTCTATTTTCTTTTTAGTAGCTAGATCTACGGTTAGTAGCCTTTTAATGAGAAAACAATGCGAACAAGGCCTTATTTGCATAAACAAATATCAATTATAATTAATAGTAAGTGTACTGTGAACGAACTGAATCCCTGTCGAACACATATATTCCAAGATGGCCGCCTTCCAGGGTACACTTTCTTATCTTCCCACGCGGTCTATAGGTTAAGTAAACGTAGAAAGAAAACGTATCCTATTAAGTGAAAGAAATGTTCTTAACAACGTGATCAAACGATACGAAAGGAAAGTATTATGTAAATTTCATATTTAACTGATACAAATAATACCCTATCGTTTTTTCCTAATTTCCCGATTCTCCCTGACGGCAACTGACACTGACAAGAGTGGTTAAGTTGGTGTCAGAACCCGATTTTCTTGTAACTTTGCAGACGAGTAGGGAGTCTCGAGTTATTAACTGTGGTGCATTAATTTTCGGTGTAAATTCATATTTAGTGCAAAATATTACCCCTTGCAGAGGATCCCCAGTCCGAGCATTCCATATATTTAGACACTTGATTGTATATTTTATTACAAAAAAAGTGTTTGCTCCTCTCCCTCAACCAAGGGGGCCCTCGAAGGTGTGATAACCTCGGGCCCAGAGGTGGGATTCAAATAACTCAACAACCGGTTCGCAACATCAGCGTCAACTGCAAAAATGAAAACAGCAAATTTATAATGAAAATTTCTGAAATTTGATGAAATAACCACGTAAATATGATTACAAATATCATTTTGACAGCCAGTTTGGCGAAATTACAAAATTTTTAGTAAACGATTCTACCGAACCGGCTGAATCGCACCACTGCCCGGGCCCCAAGGATCCTTAATCCGGACTTGCGTAGTACCGATGTGTTTCCTCCTATATCGTTTCAGCAATTGGCCGCTCTGTTGATCGCCCGTCAGGTGATCGGCAACTTGAAGGAGTCCGCGGTCCCATATGTGATCGAACAGTTACGACTGGCGCGTTTGAGCTTCGAGCTGTTCGGTGCGCTGAGCCCAAGCGATGCGACACGACCACCACCTGGCGAAGAAACTGAGAACAAGCCCGGGAAGGAGACCGAGGAAAAGAGCGAGCGTGCCGCCGAGACCGGGAAAACGAAGCAACCGAGAAACGTCAGCCAAGCTGAGCTGGAAAGTTCCCTCTACAGAGTAGGGCATCCCACTAATTCTCTACTTAGTGACGTTACGTTCAAGGTTTGGTCTAGATTTAGCTAATTTTTCTTTCATTTCTGACGCACGTCGCCGCGAGATCCACGCCGCGAACGGGACGGCGCTGGCGAATCTGTCGGGCAAAACGGAAAGTAATCGAGAGGGCTGTTATGCTGCGTCGACACTCCGGGTTGGTGGGGTGCAAAAGTTTATCGGGACAGAACTGGTTTTATTTTTTTTAAATAATTTTATAAATAAATTGTGGGATGTTCGATTACGATTTCGATTCATCGGAAGATCGATATTACACTAACGGCCAAAAATATGGGACAGAGTCTGATAATCAAAGAAAATGGAAAATATTCTACAAGAAATTAACGAACGTATTAAAATTGATGGGAAATGATTTCTATACATTCAATATTTTCAATAACTACATGGGGCTAGAAATACCCTTTAACAAATTCAAATGATCGACTGTTTCCCGCCAACCCGATGCAGAATTTAATTTAACTAAAATTTCAAGACATTTTAATATTTCGAACTTTTAAGAAAATATTGATAGAATTGGTTTGAATTTAAATCCGGGCGAATATTTTTCATATAGATCACTAACGCCGTGACGTTCGAACATTATCACACCATCGATTCTCATCCATCCTCTCACCTCGTTGTCTCCTTCCATAACCCATGGCTTGCGTATATAATATGTTCTTTTTCTTTCGTTCCGTCCGAGTAACTCCACGATCCCTCGCGAATCCGTTCCCAAAGCGACACACACGCACGTCGAGGAGAACGGACCCTGTACGCGGACATGTACCAGCCAATTGAATGTTTGTCCAGTGTTGTCTGATCGGTTCTGTTTGCAGAATTTTAATGATTTCTTTTCCCGTTTTCCACCGATTCCGTCGACGATGCGCAGATATCCACCAAAAAGGTAATGTCACCGCTCATCCTATCATTAACTACCTTAACCCTTTCAATTAATGACTCACTGACTGTTTTGTCAATGGTCTTAGTGTTTAGCATACGGTGGACTACCTGCAGGCTGTATATGAAATTTTCATGACTCGTTCTAGTGAACGAATCTTTGGATTCTATAGGTTCTTAGAATACTTTGGATCCTTGGGTTCTTTGGGTTCTTTGGGTTCTTTGGGTCCTTTGGATTGTTTGGATCCTTTGGATTCCTTGAATTCTATGAATTCCGTATAATACCAGCAAAGATATCACGACCGAGTAACTGAAAGGGTTGAATTCGAAAATCACAGCTTGTCACACTGATTCCATGTTAAGCGCTCTAGCTTCTTTTGTTTTGTTTGACGAGCATAGTAACCCTTGCACCACCTGCGCTAGATACACTATATATACACACATGATAGACAATGTATCGCTGAATATAACCCCTCAATATTTATAATATTTACCGTTGCCGTTTTGTTATCCAATTTCTGATGTAACCCAGACTTACTGGATCTGTTCTACAATTCATCATCGAAACCATACTCTTTCTATCTCTTTCGAAAATAATGAACCAGCAACGATACTCTCAATATATACTGTTTCGTACAATAAATATATTGTATTCTAACATTCTCTTTTAAGGAAGAATATACTTCTGACGATAATCCAGTAAATCATCGGTTAGTGTCCGAAGGCTCCTTGGGCACTGAACATTAAATATTTCATAAACTAATGACCATATGCGGTTGAAACATATATCATTGACTTCAAAATTTCAAGCTCTATCACTCTGCTAAACCTCATTAAAAAGTCATCGTTATACCGGGGGACTTCTCCTTTGTCAGATGCCGAGGAACCTTCGAACACTCATCGATGACTTACTGTACGACGGAATAATTCGAAGAAATTCACGAGTAATCCTTTCTGTATCTCGCAGTACGATGGAGCATTCTCGGAGCATCTGGAAATGCTGGCGCAACTCGGTTACGTATGCCTGTTCTCCTCTGCGTTCCCGTTGGCCGCCATGGCGGCGTTGCTGGGCAATCTGCTCGAGCTTCGTGGCGATGCCTTCAAGCTTTGCTTCGTTCTCCAACGGCCGTTCGGACGGAGGGTCTCCAACATCGGGACTTGGCAAGTGAGTAACCGAATAATATAGTAAAACTTTGATTAGTACCCGAAAAATGGGGCTGGAGCTCGGGTGCTTACGAAGTAGGAGAATCGATTCTAAATATAGAATCAACGTCGGACATAAAAAAGGACACCAAGTGAAAAAGGAAAGGGTACCTATATTGTGACCGGATGCTTCCACTGTAGATAGAATATATGACATTCCACTCACATCGAATATATGAAATTCCTCCTCGTCACGCGCCTTTGTTTCACGAGGCTACCTTGGAACTCTGTTCGTTCGATTCCACAGAACGCCATGGAAGCAATGGGACTGGTCGCCATTTTGGTGAACTGCGCGTTGATCGGACTGAGCGGACAGGTGCAACGGATGTTCCCGGAGATGTCAGCAACCCAGACGATCCTCTTGATCGTCGCGCTAGAGCATATCATGCTGGCGATACGATTCATCATAATCTGCGCGATACCGGACATACCCCACTGGGTGGCCACCGAAATGGCCAAGGTCGAGTTCCTGAGACGTGAGGCGGTCAGACGTTTGTCGTCGACCCCGTCCCCGGAACAACAACCGTCTACAGTAATAGGTAAGTGGTATTCACACTTGGTGGACACATTTTTCTTCCAAAGTCCTCAGAAGACGGGACGCGGTAGTTTTTAATCCACTGACTGATAATAAGAACTACTACTAAAATGACTCACCTTGTCAAATTGTATCCACCTGATGCATCCCTTAAAATGGTACATAATTCATTAAAACGTTTCTTGATACAACCAACGTATTGGTCAGACCAATATAATGGGATCATAACATGAATAACTTTTAGTAGAAATTAATTATCCTAAACGGTATAGACGAGGGTTAATATAATCTTTTTTTTTTTCATTTATTCTGTAACATTCTTTCCACTTCAAAAGAAATCTGCTCCAGAACCCGATCGCCACTATCTCGTTCCTCCCTTCCTACCGTCTATTAATTTCGCTCGAACTCAGGGAGATTCGTGGTGAGTCCAGCAGACGGTGAGAGCGAAGAACAGCAACTGCTGTCCGAGCAAACCGATGACGCTACTTCACCCAGCCTACCGGAGATACCAAATCTGGCGTCGACCACGCAGACGCCTAGCAGCCCGCCAACGCCGAGCGCGACCTCTGTACCGAGGATCTCGAAACCGTCGTCCGCCGCCCAGACACCGGGCAGCGTGGGCAGCAGTGACCTGGTCGCCCCTTTTCTAACCGAGAACAACATGGGCAGCATTCGCGATCTTCACAATTTACCTAGGTGTTCCATTCCCGGCGGTGAACGAGGTTCGACTCTACGTCCTTGTATTTTTTTCATCCTTTTAAAGATGGCTATGAAATTTCGCAAAAGATCCCATCACCGACGAGGTATAAGAATAGACTTTTCATCTTATGAGAATTGGTCACCCACCTAAACTGTAGTACCGATACCTTAAAAAGGTACTTAAAAGGTACTGGAACGGTGAGTCTGCGGTGGGTAGCGACACTAAAATACGTTGAAAAAATACATTGGATGAAGTCTACTCCTATATAGGTCTGTGATACCATCGAGATCCTAGTTCACATCACACGTTCGAGTTCATGAGTTTCGGTCGATAAGAAAAGTTTCTCTTAAAAACTAAGTTTCTCTAAGCTGTCGGTAAAGTTTCCGTTCGGACCGCCCCGGTCATTGGTTACCGACACAGTACTTTTGACCTAAGTCTTGCAGAATTTTCAATAAATTCCTTGCAAAATTTTCCAGACATTCGTAAACTGTCGCACCGCTTAACATATTATGTCTGCTTCGACGTTGCCATATTTGACTGCAGAACTTCCTAAGACTAATATGAAACGGTTGGATTAAATTTTCTAACCTTAAATTCTTTGACCGGAAGTCTGTGAACTCAAGTGTAATTTTATTAGAGAATATTTTCTGTCGACGGTGGTGCAAGTAACGTGTATCAAACGAATAAAGGAAATTATTGTTATCGTCTTACGGTCACAGGTAGACGTTCAAGAGAGTGGCCGCCCGGTGAGCCAGAAGCGTCAGGCGGCGCGGACCATTACAGTCATCATTTAACAATCGGGCCTCATGGGGGCGCGGACTGGGTTCGAAGATTGGGTCTCGATCATCCGGGCCGAAAGTCCAGCGATTCTGAGATCAGCGAAGCCGGTACAGTCAGTGGAAGTGGTGACGAGCTGCTGCATCTTCACCGTTCCACCGACTGCATCGTCTCGAAGGATCTCGCTTCGTCGTCGGACAGCGACCTCCTTAGGTCTGTATATTACCACATTGACTGCCATGTTACCCAACTATGACTGACAAGTGCATTGCAAAAACGCTGGATTATGTTAAATACCGTTGCAAAATTTTCAGTAAAATTAATATAACCGTATAATTTCAAACAAGACCAACACCCTCTATTAACTAAACGCGTATATTCTCGACGATTTATGAAATAAAATATGCCTGACCATCTATGGCCCTTTTCACTGTGATAGTCAACGCGTTAAGTCATCTATGTCATGGTAGTCGAAATTAGAGCGTTAACGATCAGAAGAATAGAAAATGCAAATATCTTCTACAGATCGGCCCCGCCGTCGGCGATGGTGCACAGAAATCAGAAGTTCCGTTTCTCCCCGGAGAGGGAGAAAGAACGCGAAAAAGCGGAGAAACAACAACACCAACATCATCATCATCATCATCGGGAGAGTCACGATCACAGACAGCAGCAGTCGTCCCATTATTCGGAGAAGGACAAAGATTCGAGTGGCCTATCCGACTCGAGTAAGACGAGCCAGGACGAGGAGAAGCCGAACAAAGAGGACCGGGAGGCGAAGAAGACACGGGTGAAGCAGAGTCTAATGAAGAGGGCCAGATCCGTCGCCATTTTCTCGTTGAAGCTCAAGGAACGAAGAGCGAGGGAAGCGGAACTGAAGGCCAAGGAGGCGGAAAAGGAGGCCAGATGGCAGCAGCCCCAGTCCTGCGTCGGCGGCGAGCTCTCCTGCATACCCATAGAGAAGCTTATATCCGTGGATGACATCGCAGCCATGGAACTACGCAGACTTAACCATTAGCCGCTTGTCGTTTCAGTTTCGTTTCACACGCTACGTAGAAACATTCGTCTACGCCGGTGATACTCGCTACGGAACGAATGGTTGCTCTTTCGTCGCTCAGCTCTTGGATCTCAGGAGAAAACAAACGACGCAGACCATAAAATGAAATCATACGAACCAGTTGTTGACGATCAAATTGCAGTCGAAATGGGTACGAAATGTAACAGGCAGTTTTTTAACATGTTGCCTGCCGGGGTCCGTTATCTCGTAAAAATTCTTAATTTTCTAGGATTATTTCTTGACTCCTATCGGCCGTCCATGTATCAGAACTGTATTCAGTATCCCACGTTGACGCATCAACTCGTCTTCGTAAGTCTTTTTTGCTTTGTTTAACATTCTAACCTATACTTCATTCACCCGTTATTACTGAGAATTCGTGCTACGAAATATGAAATAGTCTTCTTTAGTTCTAAATTATTTCCAAACATTCGCCGAAATTCAATTAATTTTGCAAAAAGGATCCGGTGAAACTACGGTACAAAAAGTTTGTAGTAGCCAAAATTTGACGATATTCTATTTGATATATTCTTAATTTCAAACATGAAGTTGTAACATCCGCACAAATCTGACGTGGTACTCCATGCTTGAATACCAGTCTCCTTATTATCAGACTATTCACCGATCCACTTGCGGACGAAACAAAATTTTCAATTGGAATTTAAACGTCAGATGTAACGAGAAACTTGCTCAAACGGTGGAAAGTTTACCGACAGTGCCAAACAGCTCAGTCGTTAAAGTTGCACCACTATTAAATCTACAACTAAACCGGAAATAAATGATGTTCGATACAAAATTCTACCAAACCACGGGTATTAAATTCTATACGGTGCGATCAGCATGAACATCGTGAGCATCGTGAGATAAATAGACGAGCGACGAAACGAAAAATGTTTCGTTCGAACGGAATTCTTTTCTACGAATTTGTACAGAGATATTTCGAGTGAGTATCACTCGCGTACGCGAATCGCGCGCAACAGACGGCTCGCGAGAGAACCCCCACGAAGGCACCGAAGAACACGTTGGCTATGATCGAACGGTTTTCTTACGGCGACGCAAAGAACACCGAATGGAAGGAGGAACAATGAAACGGCGCACAAAAAGTAAATTTGAGTCTATAAATTTTAGACGACGTTCTTATAGAAAACCAGTTTAACGTATCATCCTTAAAGGTCACAATTTTGGTAGATTAGTCGATACCTTGGGGTATCGTGTAGTCCGTAAAACCTCCGAGAAAACGATTCGTTGTCATCGGTGTTACACGATCGATTGTTTTCGACTTCCTTGGAATTTGTGAAACGTGGGACAGAAAACCCGAACCGAAATAATTCGATGGTTTTGCACGACGCACTGGATTTGCAGTTTTAAATTCGATCGGTTTATTATCTCCTACGAAAATTACATTTCCCCCGTGTTTTTGACATCATGTTTTATCTTTTTATCGAAGCCTATTTTACGATTTTTCTCTACCGTCCTGTTCAACGCTATCCGTTAACCACAAATGTTTTTTATCTACACGTTTTTTGTAAGGATGAAATGTACAATTAGCCAAGTAGAGCGTTAACCGTTGCACTATCAAGAGGTTATGTACGGTTATCAAAATGCGTGCGCGAGAATGTTCAGCACGATGCGAAATTTGTCGGATAAAATGCAACCGGAAGTGGAACATTGATAGTGCAAGGGTTAACGAAAAACAAAGACGAACAGATAAAAAAAAATGAACAAAAAGACGCAGAAGAAATGCGCGTTAAACGCAACAAAGGAAGTCGCGCGTGATCTCCCAAAGTCCCCGAGACTTCATCGAAGAACGCAACACTGTGTACAACACGTTTGTAAAGTATTATAAACGGCTGGTGCTCGTAACGGGAGCAGCCATACAGACGAGGACAGGGGACGAGAGAAAAGATCCCGTTGTTGTTGCTGCAGCATAAGTTGTTACTTAATGTTACCTAGATGTTTATCGGTTAACGAACTTTTGCTAAATAGATCTCTACGGAAATCTCTACGAATGTAAACATATACAGATGCACGCAAATTCACGCATACGCCTACTGTTAACGAGTTGTCACCGAGTTTTCCGTTCAACGAACGAACACCGTGCACTGAAAACCAAAAGGGAGTAACGATAATCTTGTTTCTTTGCGGCTGAATCGAGAGAAATGGAGAAACAGATTGAAAATTGTTGGGGAAAGTATGGCTCGGTTAATAAGCGACACGTGTTAGTGAACGTTTTCTTTTGTATATAGCGTTATTGTTTACGAGCCATCCACGCGATAGATATGGGTTCTATGGCCTAGCTACTAACGCCCCCCACGTCCACAAGCTGAATTAGGATTATGGTTTCGTTTATCGTGGCACTTTCTTACTTTTCGACAACCACCACCGTGACTAGCTAGCGATTAGATTGCCGCGACGACGTTCGAGCACTGTTCAAGCAAAACAGAATTTAAAAAAAGAAGAAAATCAGTATTTCGCATCGTACTTTAGCGTGCCCTTTGGGAACCGCGAGACTAGAATCCGCGAAGTCGATAGTTTAGTCGCTTTTCGTAAGGCGAGGTTTTAAAAATGTCAGCGGTACGCATCTATGTTTGTTAGATGTTTTGTATAAAACAGGAACTGAGCCAATAAAAATATTCTACGAACAGATTGTGTTGCATTCATCTCGCTTGAATACCACATTGAAGTGATAGCATTGTGTTTCGTCGTAGACTAGGGACGATAGCTATAAAATCAAACGACACCGGTAACTTTTATTACTTTACTTCCTTTGTACTTTAAACTCTCGTACCGACAACACGCGTTCGATCATTCGACAAGTAACGTTCGACAAGACTAGTTCATAGTAACTTTTGTACCGTGATCGTGATTCGGCGATCACTGTGATAAATCACCGTTAGTGATTTTGCACGCCATCTCTACTGTGTAGTGGAACGTGGGTTCATAGAACCCCCAGAGGTGGCGCCAGGGACCTTATGTGGTGAGAACGTGGGGTCATGGAACCCCCGGTGGAGGCGCCAGAGACCCCGTGTGGTGAGAGCGTGGGGTCACAGAACTCCCGGTGCATGCGCAAGAGCTTTGTACAACTGTCTAGCTCGGTCGAATGTTGCTCGTGCAACTGTCGAATTGGGACTGACGCTTGTGCGTGTTCCCGTGAAGAAATTAGATAATAACCCCAACAACCATGGCAGTTTCTGCAGATACTACTACTGCCCAAGTTTAAAAGACGTAGGCAGTAGTTAGTTTCTGTAGTAATCTGTTGAACCAGACAACTATAATTAGTACAGGATTGTACAATATTTATGCAGTTATATTTAAAACAATTC